GAGGTGGACAGTGAGAGGGATGACAAGAGGAAAATTGAGATACAACACATCTGTCGTGCTTCAGGAAACATAAATGAAAGTGGATGGAAGCAGGGTTCCTGCCTCTGTGAGGCTCCCCTGTCAGATTTTAACCATTTCAGCTGAAACGGAGAAAGTGCTGTGATTCTGCAACGCTTCAGGTTCGGCTTCTATTCATCTCAAACAAGAGGTTAATGTAAACAATCGATCACACGGAGAATACGAAATCTGCTGAGGGCTTTTAAACTAGTTGACTAATTCAGCTGTCCTGCGGGGAGGTTTCCATGGCAACAAACGTCCCAAAAATAACAGAGATGGTTGATATTTTAACCCTGAAAGTGACCCGCCTGCTTGAATATGCATAAGGTAAGTGTCATAAAGACATCACGGCACTGGGGCGGCAATAATCCAACAAAAACCAATAAATTTTTAATTTGCACTAAATTGTCAAATTTTTATTCACTGGATGCCGCACTCATTAGGGATTGTTTTATTTTGTATTTGCATTATGAGTTTAAAGCCTAACACTGATTTTTAAATTGTGTCACATGTTTTTAATGATTAGTTGAAAGGAATTGTTCAAAAATACGTTATAAACTTACGTGATGCTAATATCCAGCATCGCAGTGTTTCCTGTTTCATTTTACTTAAAGAAATCAGTAAAATTTAGAATAATTATTCAGTACACATGTATTTATAAACAGGCCCAATATTGCTATCTTCCCATATTGCCTTTGCTGAATGATAGTCATAAACTGAAAACATTTTATTTACATTTTCAAAGATAGTGTAATAGAGAGTAAAGAGTTAAGTGAATCGGGAGGATTTCAATGTTTCTTTGGAACAAATAAACAAACAAGAAATTACAAACATTTAATAAAACTTTACTCTTAAACAATAAAATATTATTTAGTAATTAGTTTGTAAGAAATTGTGAAGCAGTATGTAAAAACAAGGCTAATGTTCAAAATTGTCATTACTTTTTTTATATTTTCTAAAATATTTTACCTTCTACATCAAGATATTATATTACTGTAGAGTCTTTACCTTATAATATAAAGCGCCCTGAGGCAACTGTTGCGATTTGGTGCTGTATAAAAACAATACTGACTTGAATTGAATTACCTAAAGATGTCAAACTATGTCTGCTCTTTGAATTACTACAATTATATACTTGCTTGTAGCGCCTTTGTACATCATTAAACTTCTGAGAAAAACTCCAATAGATTTACAAGAAATCTGCTTCGTCACAATCCACACGGCTAGAGATGGATCAATTGCCAGCATCACTAAAAGGGCAAATTTCACTGGGTGACTGCTCAGGTCACACCCCTGGGCATGCGTGGCTGTGCTAAGTGGGGGTTTTCCCCTCATAGACGAGGCGTTTGCTGGATGATGACCTGGTGTAAATGAGTGCAATCGTTTTTGGTAGTTTGTGCATCAAGCTGTTCAATAAACTATCGATACTTTGACCCTGAAAGTGATGCGCAACGTTAAATACACGAAGGGTATTTAAGATAACAAACATTTGAAAAAGTTGTTCTTGACTTTGTCATTGCTTGGTTGTTTTGTGCACTTGGTCATCAACTTTGGCTGTCTTGCTACATCAGAACTGTCTGGATGGTTACTGAAAAGTTACA